CACCATCATTATTCTATTATATTTTTACTGACAAGAAGATATTAATGGTAACGTAGACTAATAGTCGTGATTTTTATTTTTATTATGATAATATTGCCAGAATGATTGATTTTTGAATTAAAAGAAAAAATATATATAAATTATCTTAATTCATGAATATATCATAATATTATATTTCTTAATTTACATAAATTATTTTAATATTATTTTGAGTTCTTAATTAGATAAAGAACAGTACTTTTAATGTTGATTAGATAGAGAATATAATCCTAACAGAAAATAGTTATGAAAGTAGATAACTTGAAACAAAGATTTGTAGCCTCAAATTTGGAGTTGTGTACCTTTCTTTCAATTGGGGAAATTTGTTTTTATTTATTTATTATTATTTATTTAAAAAAAAAAGAATCAAACACTGGTGACATGACCGATCATTAGTGACAGTAGTCTAACAAGTAGTTGTTTAAAATGACGCCAGAACAAGACATCATAGAAACACCCACTAAAAAGCAAAAGATATACATAAATTTAGACATGTTGTAGGTATTTTAATTTTGTTCTCTTCCCTTAGATGAAAATCAAACAGAGAGGTATCTAGATTCAAGAGTTGTGTTCTGATTCATGTATGTTGATGTTTGTGGGTTGTGAGAATCAAGAATGAGTGAGGATGGATGGTAGAGAATCTAAAATAATTGATAATTAAGAGAGGCAAAAGGCATTGTTAGTGGCAACCCACTTTGGATTGCACTTGCGTGACGTAACACTTGTGTGTGTGATTGATGAAAACCAAAACAAGGCAATGAAGAAGAATATGAAAAGGAAAATCACTACTACCTCACCCAACCATTCTAAAATGCAACCACCAACATTATTGTACCTTTTATACTTCCAAGAGTCATTCAGAGAGCTTATAGTCTACTATATAATAATTCCAACTTATCCTCACTCATCATACTCTTTTTTTATTGCAATTTTTTAAACCACATCATCCATTCCATATCACCATTTTTATCCAATGCTTGTTCTTTTATCTGTCTTTTTGGGCCACCATTGTTTATTCAATCAACTACAACACTCTTCAACGTTTAGTGACATAATCAGTTCACTTGTGCCCTTCCAAATGTCACAAACAAGGTTTTTTTTTTCTCTTGTCAATCATTCTCAGTTTTTGGTCTTATACACGACGACGCTTGATTTCGAAGGTGTTAAGTTATTTGGTCTTATGTTTCGATCCTCAATGCCACCGTTTTCTTCATTGTTTCATTTCTAATCTTCCTCACCATTACAATCTCTTCTTATCAAATTATATGTATATGTCACGTGCATCGATTATGATCAATCAAAGTCAACGAGAAAATAATCTTCACAATCGTATCAAGAAAAATGTTTTTAATCACTATCATTCCATAAACAAAATATATATACCATTTTAGTCGAAGATTAGAAAAACAATCTAAATACGGCAATTTTTTCTTTTCTTTTTAAAATAACTCTTTACTTTACTTTAGTGATTGTATCAATATAAAATGATTTCATGATTTTTTCACTTTATGGACGACAAATTTCACGTCGATCAAAAATATATTAATTATAATATCTAAGTTAAATGTAATTTTTTCTAACAAATCAATTTTATAAGTTTGAATCATACTACTATTCATTGTTTATTTTAGAGTAAAATCTAAATTTTATTTTATAGCTAATTTTAATTAATATATATGATCAATTGATAAAAATAAGATACATATAATTTTATAATAATTATTATATAATTAGTTCTATTTATCGTAGATAAAAAATATAATTAAATAATAATTATATCTCTTATATCTTATATTATAGATGAAGCTAGATATTCTCTCTCTCTCTCTCTCTCTCTCTCTCTATATATATATATATATATATATTATTTAAGGTTATTTTTGTAAATATATATTAAAGAATAAAACATTGATAATCAATAATTAAAAAATGGAAATGTCACGTTTAAACAATAAAATACTTGCATGACTTAGTGTAGATTTAATGTTTATTAATTTAGGAAATTATTCTATTATATATATAAAATGATGATATTATAATCTAAAATATCAATATTAAAATAAATTGTTATGTGAGCGTTCTAATGATAAGCTTGATGTTATTAACTTTATAGAATTGGGAGGAACAAAAAAATATATTAAAATGAGGAGATATTACTGGAAAATATTTTGGTATTTTTTAATTATGTTTATTTAATTTTTGAAGAAAAAATATATTAAATATACGTTCTTTATAGTTTAATTTGAATAATCGATTTAAAAAAAATGAAAATTTGACATTTAGAAAGTTAATAATTGATATTTATTTTTATTACCATATAAAAATGATTAAAATATATCTTATATAATATAATATTTATAATGATAATAATATAGTACTCAACAAAATATAAATAAATATATTTATATTTATTTTTTTGAGTTAAATTATGCCAAACTAATGCATTAATATGATAAAGATAAATTTAATATAATAATTACAATCCTATTAAAATATGAATAAACATTCATGGTTTCTAGGTCGTTTCATTAGATTAGTATATACAAAAACAGATGTAAAGGTTGAATTATGATCGAATTTAATAAATATTTTTTATTATATAATATGATAAATTTATTAATAATAACAATTTTTGTTAAAATAAAAAATAATTTCAATAATAAAAAAATTAGTATCACAATTAATTAATAATAATAATAATTAAATTTAAACATATATAAAATAAAAAATAAAAAGCAACTAATCTTAAAATTAAAATTAAAATATAAAATAAATATTATATAAAATTGATAATTTATGTGAAATAAAGAAAGAAAAAAATTTAAATATTTTATAAACATTTTTTTTTAATTAAAAGTTTAAATTTCTAATTTTTTTAAAAGCTGATTTTCTTCACTTTATCCCTGGTTAATTAAAATCTAGGTATTTATAATGATATTGTACTTTACACCTCTGTGATATTTCTTAAGTAATTTGATACTTTAAATAAAAAGTGACTTGATTTTTCAATGTATGTAACTTAATAAAATCCAAAAATAGAAAAGTTAAGAAAGAAAAAAGGGTATACCATTGAAGATGCTTTGAGGAATTTATCCAAGATGAATTTTCTGTACGCAAAGTTCTTCTGCCATTGGCGTAATCGTAAAATGATGTGAGCAAGGAGCCCCACCAATCTGCAGGATCTACCTGGTGCGCACATTACTCATAGTGGAAATGTGACCCCCATCATGACTACGATGATGATGCTTTCCTATTTCTCTCCCTCTGAAACACTTGACTCTCTACCACAACACAACTCACACAATGTCAACAAACCAAAACAGACAAGCACAAAAATACAACCCTCTCTAATTTTCAACACAACACAACACGTCTTCGTCCCATTAAAATAACATAAAGTTCGATTATAAAATAGTGGCCTTTATTCATTTAAAAAAGTGGCCCTAGTTTTATCACGCATATATTAATATTTATAATCCTACGCTTAAATATGATGGGTGATGAGGGTTGGGTTGGGGTTCGCATAATGGTTTTGGGTTGAGAATTTGGTTCTGTTTTTCGGTGGTGAGTCAGAAAGGCAAGAGAAAAAAGTTTCCAAAATACTTATTTCTCAAAGTAGCTTTCAAAGGTTTGCTGCCGTATTAAAATAAAGATTTTTCCTTTTGTTTTGTTGTAATTTTAAAGATTTAACTGCCGAGGAAAACGAGGAAGGACCAGATACGAGAGCGAGATACTAAATACACGACAGCTCTTTATGTTTTTGTTTTTTTGAACTAGTTGCTTGTGTTGTGCGCTTTCTATGATCACCTTCACCGGTACTTTCTTTCTTCTCCTGCTTCTATAATCATTTTTTGTTTTTCTCTTTGAAAAAGTGGCATACCAGTTTTGGCTTTGCTTTAACGTACGTACCAAAACTTATGATGATTTTGGTTGTTGCCTTTTTTGGACCAGGACTAGTAAGTATCTAATCTTTGCCTTCTGTCTATCTCTCAAGCAATTAAGAAACTAAAACGTGGATCAGCAGTTAAAAGAATTGATGCCTTTTTTGTATTTGTGATAATCTGTATTTTCTTCAAACCCCCATAGTTTATCCTTGGTTTGCCATAAAATTAAGAAATTTGTCTCCTGTGTCTTTCACCACCTGCTCAAAAAGTTGAAACAATTGTACCCCACTGCTTCATTCTCGGCTACCCTTTTATGTCTTTTGTCACCTAAGCAAAAGATTAAGATTAATAGTATGTTTCGTTCCATGTTTCAAACCCAAATTTAAAAGACTATCAGTGATAATTCCTAAGTTTATGGTTCATTTTTTTCCAATGGTTTTTCAAACAGTCTAATTCTAGAGTGTATTCAACTCAAACAAAACTGTTTGATGTCACAAACTTTTCCTCTGCTTCAGTCCTTACCAAACACAATCGTCAAAATTTATGGGATATTCAGCGGGGATTTAATTGTTTAATCAGTATTTCTTAAAATACATCCATCCCCTATTTTCATTGAATCCAGCTTCTAGATTGGTTACATCACAAGGGAGGCTTGGAGATTTCTTTATTCTTCTGGTCTTACCAATCAAATTGACCTTTTTTGCTTTACCCTGGTATGATTCCTTGTGATCAACGTCACTTGTTAATGGTGCATGCAATATGATTAAGAAGTGTATGAAACAGTGCTGTCATAAGGTTTCTTTTATTCTATTCTTTCTTATAACATGGTTACAGCGGCAGATTTCTGCACCTTACAACAATTTTCTTATGTTGCACTCGTGTCAGTCTTTAAATATCTGCCATTCCAATTCTTGTTTGTTTTCTTTCTGCTTTCTGATTATTTTATTATTAAAATCTAAGTGAAATGTGCTTCTTTTGTTATGATTGACTGAATTGTAAGTCGTTTTATTAATTCGTAACAGCAGGTTCCTATATATCTATGTGCATTGAATTGCTTCATCGATAAGTCCATAGAGCATGGATGTTCCATCCTCACAGTTTGTTTCCTCAAGAAGAATGGGAGTGTATGATCCTATCCACCAAATTAGCATGTGGGAAGAAAATTTCAAAAGTAATGCTAATACTTTAACTGTATCCACCTCCATAATGGAAGAGCTGGACATGAAGTTAGATAATCAAGTTCAGGTGCAAGTAAGTTCACCAAATTTATTCTCTGTCTTTTGCAAATGATAAGGCCTATTTTGCCTACTAATAAAGTTCCCTTATGCTGTTGAATACCTAGTCAGAGGAGGCTTCACATGGAATATTTGGAACATCTGTGAAGTACGACCTAGATGATAATAGACTAACTGATAAGGTAAAACCAGGTTATGTAAACCCCTTATTCCTAAAACAGCATAAAGGGGTTATTCATTGAAATATTTTACTAATTTTGAATAGTTTCTACACTGAAAACCGTTGAGTTCTTCCTGCGTTTTAGCTCAAACTCTCTCAGAATACAGATACTTCTGTGCTTAGCTTCACAAGTTCCTTTTACTCGGAAATTTATATAGTTAATGCCATCGTTAGATATAGTCTCACTTTGGTGGTCACATTCTATGGGGTGTTGTTCTGTAATGTGAAAAGTTTATTTAATCCAATTTAAAGAATAGACTTAATCTTAGTGATATTCAAGCACACCATTTACTCTTTTCTTCTGCCTCCATCTCTAGCTTTATGTAGAAATTTTGAGTGACGTTGGAAAGTATTTTAGACCCACATTTTGGACTCTAAGGAAACTGTATATGCACTGCAGACTTAGAGGTCCTGTGCTTCACAATTTTGAATGTCTGGCTTGTACTCATAACCTTTTTCTTCTTTTATGCTTATATGGAGAAAAAAGAGGGAATTTAACAGGTTGAAACATGCAGATACAAAGACGTCTTGCACAAAATCGAGAGGCCGCTCGTAAGAGTCGTTTGAGGAAAAAGGTTTGAAGGTTTATGCATTGAAAGATATACTAACATGCAACAAATGTTTACATGTGCTGATATTTTGTGATTTCTGGTGTTTCTTCACAGGCATACGTGCAGCAGTTAGAATCATGTCGTTTGAAGCTGATGCAGTTAGAGCAAGAGGTAGATCATGCTAAACAACAGGTATTTACCCCTAGTCTCTCCTATGAATCACTTTGTGTAGTTCAATATCTATCTTTTTTTTTTGTCTTTCCTCTCTTCTCTAGTGCATCTCTTGAGGCAACATTATTGCAGGGATTGTATATTGGTGACGGACTGGGTTCTAACAATTTGGGTTTTGCTGGCTCTGTCAATTCAGGTTTGTAGTTATAAAGCTGCTAGTGCTAGATTTCTTGTTTTTTAATATAAATGTGAGTTTTAGTTATTGCATATTTCCACAATTTGAGTGTTATCATTTTCTAAAATTAATTTTGTGAAGAAGACAGTTTTTTTTTTTTTTACTTATGCCTTCACTGTATACAGAGATATTATAACTTTAGTTCTGAAATAGTAACCTGAAACTAAGAATTCATTCATCCTCAGACGACAAGTGCAGTTTCTAAGCAGAGAGTGTTTTATTTATTTCACTATTTGTGTTGATATTTGCGGCAAAACTAGATTATCTAGTCTCAGATGAAATTGTTCTTCTACTTTCTGCTTACATTGGCTTGATATTGCACCACCAGTACTCTTATATTGTCAATAATTTGATACAGAAATTATTAAATACCATTGCAACCCTGAACCTAACTGCAAATGTTAAATTGTCTAGTAAACTTCTGAATTAGAAACTTCATTTTGGTTGATATAATATTTGTTCCTGGATTTCCTTAAGTGTGTTTTTCTTTATGTGTTAAACTCCTCAATCCAACTTTTTTTTTTTTTTTTACTAAAAAAGTACCCAATTTACAGGAATAACAATTTTTAAGATGGAGTATGGACATTGGGTGGAGGAGCAAAATAGACAAATCTTGGAACTGAGAACTGCTTTAAGTTCTCATATAGATGACACACAACTGGGGACACTTGTACAAAGGATAATGAACCACTACTCCAAACTCTTTAGCATGAAATCTGCTGCTGCAAAAGCAGATGTTTTCTACGTAATGTCTGGTATGTGGAAGACAACAGCTGAACGATTTTTCTTGTGGATTGGAGGATTTCGCCCCTCTGAACTTCTAAAGGTGATGTTTTGTTGTGTTATCATTTTTTATTTGTATTAAGGTATTTCACAAAAAACCCACTAATGAACAAGTACATGGCTAAAGGTACAATCTCGATTTCATTTCTTAAGCATTTATCTTCTAACACAAACACTGTTACTACCCAAGTTCCTCATAAGTGTTCACTTTTGAGTTTTGTTACCAGCATCTTATACATCATAAATAAATTTATTGCAATTGCAGGTTCTGATCCCTCTGAGTGAACCTTTGACAGAGCAACAACGGTTTGATACCTACGGACTTGAAAAATCATGCCAACAAGCAGAAGATGCCCTTTCACAAGGTATGGAGAAACTTCAGCAAATGCTTGCTGACAGTGTTGGGCCAGGACACCTAGTTGAAGGAACTCACCTTCCACAGATGGATACTGCAATGGAGAGGCTGGAAGCTCTGGTGAGCTTTGTGAACCAGGTAATGCATGCTTTACTTTATTCACACCCCTTTCTTCATCAATTTAGTACGAAATGCATAAGGTTTTGTTGAAACGACCTTAACGTATTTTATGGCTAGCTGAACATAGGAAAAGTTTAGTGTATAAGAGAGGAAATTGTCTGATTTTAAGGTTAATGTATGTCACAGTAGAGACGGATTTAAAAACATATGTAAGACTTTATTTTTAAGAACTGATCCAATGACAAACTAAACATTTAATAGATTCAATTAGCAGTAAAACTTTTAGAGATCAAGAATCCATTGTTACAAATAAAAGAAAAATGCGATTCAAATATAAAATAATAGTGTTTATAATCATAAAAATCACATTTTGTAGAAAGAAAAGCTCATTTTTGTAATAAACTATTCAAAATGAAGCCTGGTACAATTTTTCCTCTTCAGTTTATGTACAAAAAAATTTGGAGTGGTCATTAATATAAGTGATGACAAAGTATCAAAACATAGGGAGGGGATCTTTCAAGCCTGGAACAAATGTCTAACTAAACCAAATTTAGTATCTACCTATGACTTATTCCATGTTGAATCTTTTGATGAATACTTTATTTTCTAGCTAGACCATTTGACACGATTCAAATGGTATCCTTTTTATGTTCAAGAACGATGTTTCACATATTTTTCTAGTCATTTTATGCTCATGTGAGACAATTGTTCATGCCACAAATTTTTTGGGTTTCATCATAGATTTCTCTCCTTTGTTAATTCTGTCCTGAATAATGTACATGAAGCCTCTTTCTTTCATTAAGCAACAGCTATATTCTCTTTGCTCAGCTTACACCTTCGGATCCATTTTTTCTCATCCTTCAATGTTCATTTATAAGATTAGTTTTAGACCAAGTTCGTCAACATACCTTACCCCTCTTCAACACCAATTCATTGTCAACATCATATTGTTATGACATGATATCCTATTTTCCTCGTATCAAAATCTTTTCTTTTGTTGTATGAGAATAACTCTTAGATGAAAAGATGCGCAAGTCATTTGTTTAAGTGCAATCATTTGTCACAATTTTTCTTTAAATCAAATTTACGTAACAAGGTGGAAAAAATGACACAAACTATTTTAAAATGAAACCTTCTCAAAATATTTGTAAAAAAAAAGCTAATCCAAAAAGTTCTATCCACTATTAGAGTTATAAACGTGTTGCATGGGCATTCATTCAGCAACACCCCTTACATGCAAACATGGTATTAATGTCTCAGGACATGCATGTGTTTTGATTATAGATTAAACAATAACAACATGTTTTATTAAAACAAGTTTAAAGTGTTGAACTTGTGCTAAACCAAAGTTGTATGAACCAGGCTGATCATCTACGACAAGAAACATTGCGGCAAATGTATCGAATACTTAGCATACGTCAGATTGGTCAGTTCCTGCTTGTTCTTGGGGAATATTTTCAACGTTTAAGGGCTTTGAGCAAACTTTGGGCTAATCGTCCTCAACAACAAGGACTTGCTTAGTCGTCAAACATATTTATACATATTATACCAGACAAACACCATTAATGACCCATAAACTTGTCTATATCGTAATCAAAACCATGTTCTATGGCTGCCCACATTTTTCCACCATTTTTGAGAAGTTGTAAATAGGTGTTTGTGATATGTCATGTCATGTCAAGTTGGTTATGTAAAATGTGTACAATGTAGAATAACACACCAAAATGTTGAGAAAACTCAGTGATTTTCCTTTTCTTTTCTTTGTGATATATACAAATGATTTAAGACAAGAAGGCTATATGTTAATTTAATGTGATTATTATCAGGTTTAATTAATATTCTTTTTCAAAATATCCTTTTTCATCTTTGGTAATCACACTAATAATAACAAGAATATTAAAAAATATATATATGAATGATACTCCTCCAAAAGAAAGTTGTTTTTTTACTAGAAAACCACCAAATTCATTCCTAAAATTATGAGATTGAAAAATTAGTTTTTAAAATATAAAAGAATTAAAAAAATATACTTAGTTAGCCTAGTATACTAACTCTAGAAAGGGATAAACATTACCCATCTATATTATCTTGTACCTCTAAATTTGACTTTTAAATAATTTTTAGATCATAGTTTAAGAAAATTACAAAAATACTCCTAGTATTGTCAAACTAACTAAAATCCCAATTTTAATCAGAATATATCATTTAAAAAACTATAGAAGTTTTATTTTCATTGTAGAAGATTCTTTTGCAACTATTTAAATTTTTATATAAATTATCAAAATATCATGACCATGCTAATAAGTGTAAGTTGAATTTTACTTTTGAGGAAAACTAAAAAAAAAATCGATAATTTAAAATTATAAAATACTTAAATTAATGTTTTCAATTTAAAATGTTGTCCCTTTTTGTCTAAACTGATGTTATCGCAGATGCACTAGGGTGTCTTTCTTTTACATTAAAACTAATTTTGCAAAATTCTCATCAAATATATTTTATAATTAAACGTTAAAATAATATTTGTAATGGTTACAAAATTTCTCAATGAAAATTAAACTTAGACTTATCAGAACGATCGAAGTGTTTTGATAATTTACAAAAAGGAAAAATAAAATCTAAACACATATACAAAATATTTTAATATTATTACTGATATTCTAAGAGAAAATATTTTTTTTTTCAAAATTTTCGATTATATTTTCGCAAAAATCAGGATTCTAGTTAGTTTAACCACATTATAAACATTTGAATTTTAGTATTAAAATCATTTAAAAAAAATCATATTTTGTCTGCAATCGTTAAAACGAAAAATGCTAAAATTCTTCAATTTACTTAAAATTTTTAAGACTTAAGTATTTTTTTAATTTCTCATAAATTTGTGAATGCCATATATGGTTCTTAATAATAATAATAATAAAAAATCTCATTTTGACTTTTGATAAAAAAAATATTTTTATTTTAGTTTTTATGCTAATTAATATAAGTAATAATTTGTTAACATTAATTTGTGAGAGGGAAAAAATCCCACATAGAATAGAACATGTCCAGGGACTTGTTTTGTTTTTTTATGTTATAAAAAACCCAATGGTTCCTTAAAGAGTCATCCCAAAAAGTTTCTATTTTTCTTTCTCAAGTGTTATTTGTATTTCTAATAAAGGGTTGTCATTATTTTTTCTTGGGACTAAAAAAGAAGTATGTATTTTTTTCTCCTATTATAAAATTTTCATTTTTTGCCTATTGTTGTTATTCAATTTTTCTCGTCTCTATTTTAGTTAAATTTTTGTGCAATTAGTCCGATGCCCAACGAGTGTTATCGGAACCACGTTCTTATTTACGCTAGTCACTAGAATATTGTTGGTAGAATTCTGAGTGCATGTTTAGGAAAGTTCTGACTAGGAAAGACTTGATAGTTAAGTGTGTTCATTAGTGACCCACCTCTTTTTCCTGGTGTACTAGTTCACGGTCTAATACTATTATTCCAGTAGACAATACTATTCAATTTCTTGTTATGAAAATTGAAGATGAAGACAATTTTGAGAAAAGACAATTGCTTAGATGCAATTGAAGTAAAACCCGTAGAAACGACGGATCAGAAGTGAAAGGAAATTGACAGCAATGCTATCGTGAATTTGCACCTAACAATGATAGATTTTGTACTATCCAGTGTTGCGGAGAAAAATACTTGCACCTAACAATGACAGATTTTGTACTATCCAGTGTTGCGGAGAAAAATACAGTAAAGGAAATTTGGAATGCCCTCATCAAATTATATGAGGTGAAGTCTCTTCACACAAGGATATTCTTGAAGCGGAAACTCTACACTCATCGGATGAGTGAGTCCACATCGATGACGAACTACATCAATCACTTGAACACTTTATTTGCCTAACTATCAGCAGCAGATTTCAACGTAGTTGAAAATGAGCGTGCGAAACTTCTACTTTAGAGTCTACCAAACTTGTATGATCAACTCATCATCAACATAATAAATAATAATATTGAAGGACATCTATGTTTTAAGGATGTTGCCGGAGCTACTCTAGAAGAAGAATCCAGGCGAAAGAATAAGGTAGAAACACTACTACAAATAAAACATTTAACGTCGGTTCTGGAAGGCTTTCAACGTCTACCAAACTTGTATGATCAACTCATCATCAACATAATAAATAATAATATTGAAGGACATCTATGTTTTAAGGATGTTGCCGGAGCTACTCTAGAAGAAGAATCCAAGCGAAAGAATAAGGTAGAAACACTACTACAAATAAAGCCTTCAATGTCGGTTCTGGAAGGCTTTCAACGTCTACCAAACTTGTATGATCAACTTATCATCAACATAATAAATAATAATATTGAAGGACATCTATGTTTTAAGGATGTTGCCGGAGCTACTCTAGAAGAAGAATCCAGGCGAAAGAATAAGGTAGAAACACTACTACAAATAAAGCCTTCAACGTCGGTTGTTGAGCCGAGCGTTGTATCGAGCGACGTTGAAAGTATGATTTTTTAAATTAATAATTTTTATTTATTTACAACCCCTTTACCCCTTTTATTTATTTAGAAGTCTCCCCTCTCTTTATATTATATTTTTATTAGGTCCTCCATCTCTTTATATTATATTATATTATATAATAGAATATTTTTTAAGTCGAACCCAGTACTTTAAAGTTGGAGGCTGATACTCCAACCACTAAACTACTAGAATTTTCTCGATAATAACTTACAAATAAATTATATTTATATTCAAATAAATATATATCCGTGTAAATATATAAATATATAAATACAAATATATTTATATATTTTGATATATTTATATAGTTATATATTTATATGTTGGATGTGAGGGCACACTCGAAAGTGAAAGTGTGTGTCGAGTGAGTTTTCAAAATTTGATGCTAAATTTGTGAGCATGTATCTTTATATGAGTTTGTAATTTAATGACAGAATATAATTTTTATAATTTTATTTATATAATGATATAAAATAAATTTGGGAAACGCGTTATTCGCTCTCAAGCGAAAAATACCAATTTTCGCTCAAGCGAGACTTGAGGGAGTGAATTTCCGTCGGCTTTACCATATTTTCACTCAAGCGAGAGTCAATCACACTTTCACCCTCGATCAAAAAATACCAATATAATTTATTTGTAAGTTATTATCAAAAAATTATAGTAGTTTAGTGGTTGAGATATTAACTTTCAACCCTAAAATACTGGGTTCAAATGTTGTCAGTGACAATTTATTAACTTAAGTGAATTTTTGGCTGAAAAAAAAAAATACTTTCCAGAAAATATATATAAATAAATATATATTTACATGGATATATATTTATTTGTATATAAATATAATTTATTTGTAAGTTATTATCGAGAAAATTATAATAGTTTAGTGGTTAGAGTATTAGTTTTCAATTCTAAAATCCTGAGTATGAATCGACGTGGAAAGTGTCAATAAGTGAAATAAAATAAAAACGGTTCATCTGGGAACCGACGTAGAAAGTATATTTTATAGTAGTGAAAGTTCCAAACAAGTAGAAGCTTTGATGATGATGAGAGGAAGATTAATGGCGATAAAAGGATATGCTCGGAAACAAGACATTGATTTCAACGAGATATTCTCACCAATTGTTAGATTGTCAACAATCAGAATTGTCCTTGCAATGTGTGCTGCATTTGATTTACATCTTGAGCAATTAGATGTAAATACTGCATTTCTTCATGAAGAACTTAAAGAAGAAATATATATGCTCCAATCAGAAGGCTTTGAAGAACAAGAAAACTTGGTTTGCAGGTTGAACAAATCTCTATACGGTCTAAAGCAGACGCTAAGGTGTTGGTATAAGAGATTTCATTCCTTTATCATTAGCTTCGATTACAACAGATTGAGTTCAGACCGTTGTACTTATTACAATAAGTTTGAAGAGAATGATTTCATCATATTGTTGTTATATGTGGATGACATGGTGGTAGGCCCAACAAAGTATGAATTCAAGAATTGAAGACACAATTGGCTAGGGAGTTTAATATGAAGGACTTGAGACCAACAAACAATATTTTAGGGATGCAGATTCATCGAGACAGAAATGATAGGAAGATTTGACTTTTTCAAAAGAATTACTTATTTAAAATCTTGCAGCGTTTCAACATGCAAGATTGCAAGCCAGTTTCTACCCCACTTCCTATCAACTATAAGTTATCCTCAAGTATGAGTCCTAACAATAAAGCGAAGAGGATTGAGATGTCTCGAGTACCGTATGCATCAGTGGTGGGAAGTCTTATGTATGTCATGATTTGTACAAGACCAGACATTACGCAAGCAGTGAGAGTAGTTAGTAGACACATGGGGAATCTTGGTGGAGAGCATTGGAATAATGTCAAGAGGATCCTTAGGTATATAAAAGGAACCTCAAGTGTTGCATTATGTTATGGAGGATAAAAAACAATTGTCATAGACTATATTGATTCAGATTTTGTAGGTGATCTAGATAAAAGGAAATTTACTACTGACTATGTGTTTACC